CTATCTATCTATCTATCTATCTATCTATCTATCTATCTATCTATCATCTATCTATCATCTATCTATCTAATCTATCATCTATCTATCATCTATCCATCTATCTATCATCTGTCTATCATCTATCATCATCTATTATCTATCTTTCACTCATTCACTCAGAAAGAAATTTTATATATATTTCTTTTTGTGTGAATAGAATGAATTCTATTACTGCTGGAGACATTTGGGTTGTTTCCAGTCTGGGTTATTATGGATAGTGCTGGTATAAATATTCTTGAACATGTTCTTTGGTGAACACCTGTATTGCATTTCCGTCAGGCCTATACACACGGGGGTGGGATTGCTGGGTCATAGAGGTCAGACTATATATTTTTAAACAAGGTTAGTAATATTTTAGAATTTTGGGCTATTTCAATATTTTGAAAGTTTTTTTTTTTGTTTGTTTTTTTCTTTTCTGAGTAGTAGGTCCAAATAGTGGGCTTAAAATATTCAATAAATATGTTGTAAACAGATGTGCTTTCATCCAGGCTCTGTTGTTCCATTTATAGAGCACAGGCAGAATAGATTTAGCACAATTTTTAAGGGCCCTAGGATTTGCAAAATGGTAAATGACCACTGGCCTCAACTTAAAGTCACCTGCTGCATTAGTCCCTGACAAGAGTCAGCCTGTCCTTTGAAGCTCTGAACCAGGCATTGATTTCTCCTCTCAAGCTACGAAAGTCCTAGATGGCACCTTCTTCCAATATAAGGCTGTTTTGTCTGCCTTGAAAATCTGTTGTTTAGTGTCGCCACCTTCATTAATTATCTCAGCTAGATCTTCAGGATAAGGTGCTGCAGCTTCTATCTCAGCACCTGCTGCTTCTTTTACTTTCACGTTACTGAAATGACTTTCCTTAAACTTCACGAACCAACCTCTGCTCTCTTCAAACTTTCCTTCTGCAGCGTCCTCACCTCTCTCAGCCTTCACAGAATTGGAGAGAGTTACAACCTTGCTCTGGATTAAGCTTTGTCTTGAAGGAACGTTGTGGCTGGTTTGATCTTCTATCCGGACCACTGAAACTTTCTCCGTATCAGCAATAAGGTGGTTCACTTTCTCGTCATTGGTATGGTCACTGGAGTCACACTTCTCTTTGCTTTCACAACTTGGCTAATTGTTTGGCACGGGGCCTAGCTTTTGGCACATCTCGAATTTCAACATGCCTTCCTCACTAAGCTTAATCATTTCCAACTGTTGATTTAAAGTGAGAGATGTGCAACCCTGTTCACTTGAACACTTACAGGCCATTATCGGGTTATAATTTGGCCTAATTTCAATATTGTTGTCTCAGGGAATAGGAAGGCTGAAGGAGAAGGGGAGAGATGGGGGAGCGGCCAGTGGGTGGAGTAGTCAGAACACACATTACATTTATCAGTTAAGTTCACGTCTTATATGGGCATGGTTTGTAGTTCCCCAAACAATTACAAAAGTACCATTAAAGACCACTGATCACCGGTGTGGTGATGAACCAAGAGATCACAGGTTCGATTCCTGTCAGGCCACATGCCTGGGTTGTGGGCTCGATCCCCAGTGGGGGGGGGTCATGCAGGAGGCAGCCAATCGATGATGTTTCTCTCTCTCTCCCTTCCTCTCTCTCTCTAAAAAGCAATACAATTATATTTTTAAAAAGATCACTGATCACAGATCAATATAACAAATATAACAATAATGAAATAGTTTAGAATATTGTGAGAATTACCAAAATGTGACATAGAGAGAGAAATTGAGCAAATGCTGTTGGGAAAATGGTGCCCATGGATTTGTTCCATGCAGGGTTACCACAAATCTTGAATTTGTGAAAAACGCAATAAAGCAGTAAAATGAGGTGTGCCTCATTTAATCAATCATCATGGGAAATTTTACTAAGAGGTACTCTAGTATTCAACACTCTTACGTTCCTGTAGCTAACTGGCTATGGTCATATTTTATATCCCCACTGCATTGCTAGACTCTACATGCTAACTTATTATTTGGAAGTTTGCATCAATATTTACAAGGGAACTTGTTCTGTGCTGTCTCTGTTAGGGTTTGAATGCAATCATCTGCTAACTTTGCCAAAATAATTTGGGAACTTTGTTTTATTCTCCATGAAACAACTTATATCAATTTAATAAGAATTTATCCCTGAAATTTACCCCAAGAATATATCCTTGAAAATGCTCTTTACAAGCTTTTTCACTTTTTCTCCTATTTTTTTTGCTCTATTTAATTCTTTTTTTTTTTTTTTTTTTAATATATCTTTATTGACTTCAGAGAGAGGAAGGGAGAGGGAGGGAGAGATAGAAACATCATTGATGAGAGAGTCATTGATCGGCTGCCTCCTGCATGTCCCCAACTGGGGATCGAGCCCGCAACCGGGCATGTGCCCTGACCAGGAATTGAACCCCGATCGCCTGGATCCTAGGTCGACACTCAAGTGCTGAACCACGCCCGGCCAGGCTCTATTTAATTCTTACATGTCAAATGTTTTAGCTGAGAATTAGACCAAAAAGTAAGAGTTATATAATATAGCACCCTATTTTATATAGTAGTAATAGTCATGTATTATGTTTGGTCTTGATTCTGCCATCTTATTTTATGATTTTATTTCTTTTTTGTTGCCTTTTTGTTTGTGTGTGATATAGTTCACATTTTATTAGTATTTCAGAAAATACCTGCCCTTAGAGAGTATTCTTATGGTTTTAAACTATATACCGATGCTTCCCCTCCCACCCAACCTAAGAAACAAAATAGCTTCTCTAGACTATTGTGAAAGAGGGAACTAGCTCCCATGATCAATGGGAGCATCATGATAGTGAGGCCTGTCGCTTTCACTCACTCTGCATCCTCAGGGCCCAGCACAGGGCCTCAGACACAGCAGAGGTTGGATCCAGAGAAACGACTGGGTGAGTGAATTAATGCAGTCACTAATTTTTGACAGCCTGCTGTGAGATTTAGATAACCAGTCTATTCTATTTAGATTATAGGTATTCTTGTAAATTCGACATTGTTGTTGACATTAACTTTACAACTGCAATTGTTGTACTGATTTGCCATTTAAATCATTAATAATTAAGTGAATTCTGAACTCTGAAGCTGGAGGCCCTTCAGTCCGCAGGCTGAAGCTCTAACCACTGAGCAAACCTGCTGGCAGGAGGACAGTACTTTCAATCAGCTTCCTGTACTTAGGAGCTTGCAGTCTACATATTAATACAAAATGAACTGCAGCAACTGCTTGTGGGAAGAGGATAGTAAGTGTCCCAGATTTATGAAAATGGTGCAATTCCCCTCAGATTTCCCCTTTCTAAACATGAGGAAACTGGCCAATTATTTTTCTGTTGAACATTCTCAGATGTTGTGTGACAGAGTGTGACAGCTAGGGGAGTGAAGCCATTTCTTCATTAAGAATGTTAAACTTCTATTTCTTCTTTATTTAAAAAAGATTTGATGGCACAAGCCATAGAGAAAGAACCTCCGGGTAAATGCTTGGTTTTCATTCTTCATCTCACAATATACAATGGGCGGAATGTAATAATTAGATGACAGAAATTAATTACAGGTGGCTAAATTTTAAAAATAAGAAACATACGTGAATATTGATCACATCTGTGGAGAGTGCTTAATGTTCTAATTTTAGAAAAGATGTTTTGTATAATTACTTTAGGATAAGAGTGACAAATTTGATGATTAAAAAAACAAACAAAACTTCTATAACTCAAAGAGCACCAAACCAAAATAAAATAGAGTAGCGGGGTAAGTAATGCTCATAGCAAATGTCAGATAAGGGCATATTAATGATAAGTGATGAACAAAATTGTTCATAAAAGAAAAGTGCATCTATAAACAAAGATATACCTTACTAGGAATTGAAACAATGCAAAACAACAGCAAAAACAAACCAGTGAGTCCCTTTTTGCGGCACAGCAATAAACTTTTTTAAAACAATAAAATCTATTGTTTCTGAAAGTGCTAACCGTGGTGGTATAAATGGCTTTAATCCTTTGGGAACCAAATCTACCCACAGAATCAAGGACCACAAACTGGTTTTACCACAACTGAGGTTTGCCTCCCTAACCCTTTCCTACCCACTCCCTTCAACCCCTCCCAGCCAATGCCACGGAAATTTCAGCGACAGGGTCAGGAGGGTGAGGGGGATGGAGAGGAAGGGCGGGAGAGAGGGCAGGCTCAGGCCGCTTCCAGGAGCTTCCTGTCTTCAGAATCCCCCAAATCGGGAAGGGAGATGGTTTAACCTAAAATCACGTTCATATTTATGACTGTCACATGGGACTATAAACAATTACTGAACTTACACAAGTTTTCCAACTTAAAATGACTGCAAGCCATTCATTCATGCGTTCATGCATTCTTGTGTTATTAGCAAAATCATGGGCCTGCTTGAGTGCCTGAGGTCTCTGCCAGGGACAGAAGGAAAAGTTTCCACGTGGAATACATTTTAACAGGAGAGTGGGAGACCTAAGTCAAGATGTTGTCTGGTTACATGCCACAAGGTGGTCTCTTTGGTTCTATGGCTTGTAGCTGAAAGCATCCCAACTGATAGGTTCATTTTCCTCCAGGTTGATATTGTAGAGAAAGAAACCATATTGTGATCCACACTACTGTTTTTTAGTCACTGGCATTTAATTATTATTTGATGAGAGCTGAATTGTGTATTAAAAAAAACAGAGTTATAAAGTTATCGAAGCGTTTTAGTCATAATAATCCCAAAAGGAAGTAGTAGGCTACATAGAAGAGTATAAAGTTTGTCAATGTCTTTAAGAAAGAAGGGCAATAAACTATGAGAAGACACCTCCTCTTAACAGGATTACTCACATCAAGTATATTGCCCACATCTCACTACGTATGCTATTCTGGGGTCACCACTCGTTTTGAAGGATTTATATTTGACAGATGGTACCTAATGCAGCTTTTCCCCTTCACCTATTGTGAAGAGGAAAGCTTTGCCAAGGTTTCACAATATGAAAATTGCTCCTGTTTCCCAAAGGGCAAAGATGAATCACTTTCTTTTTGGATTAAGAGCGAGTTAGGATGGCTCAGAAATACATTGACACAGTTTACTCGCCGGAGTGCTGACATTCAATGCTGTCTGTATTTTTGGGAGAAGATTTTGTATTGGTCTCCCTAGAATAGCCAGTTATTGATGTTAAAGTGGAGTTACAAAAATTCAAAGCATTTTTTAAAATAAAGAATTTCGCAAAGCATGCCTGTGATTGCTCTTCCATTCCTGACCTAATCACTGATAAGGAGTTCTTAGTTCATCTCCTGGTAAGTTGAACAGAGTAATAACTTGTTTTGAAATAAAAGCTCAAAACAGCCCGGCCAGAATGGCTCAGTGGTTGAGCATCCATCTAGGATCCAGGAGATCAGGGTTCGATTCCCGGTCAGGGCACATGCCCGGGTTGCGGGCTCCATCCCCAGTCGGGAGTGTGCAGGAGGCGGCCGATCAATGACTCTCATCATTGATGTTTCTATCTCTCTCTCTCTCCCTTCCTCTCTCTGAAATCAATAATAAAAAAATAAAAATAAAATAAAAGCTCAAAACATAAGCTCAGTTTATTCTTATCTAAATTCCAGTTATCTTTTTAAGAACCATACAAAGTGCCACCTCCTCCAGAAGGCATTCTTGCAGTTTTCACTTTTAGAACACATACTCTTTGGTGTTTGACTTTTATTTTCTTTCTAATCTATTTTGTTCTCTATTTGTCTACTTTATATAGCATTGCCTTTTCAACATGTTTATGTGCTGCATCATTTCGACGTAGAGAGCTCTAAGTTCTATGACGTATCTATGATACATACCTATGTCTAAATCGTGATACCTGCCCTCAGAAACTAGTACCGCACCGTAACAGGCACATAGTAAGACCTCAGTGAGCCCCGTTACGAGAGTAACCCACTTTCTAGGCAAGTAGCCGTAATAAAGAAATAAGCTATTAGTGAAATCATTAGACAAAGAGAGTTTATAAGATAGTCATAAGCTACTATTTTCCCCCTNTAAAAAAATAAAAATAAAGTAAAAGCTCAAAACATAAGCTCAGTTTATTCTTATCTAAATTCCAGTTATCTTTTTAAGAACCATACAAAGTGCCACCTCCTCCAGAAGGCTTTCTTGC